AAATCTCTCTGAAACCCTCTACAACCTTTCTACTATCTTTAATCAATAAGAAAAAGAGTATAAAATAGAGAAATCGGAATAGCTTAACAAGTATATAGTTATACTACAGAACTAATCACAACATTCAAAAGGAAAGGCCCTATTATGGGCTCTATAGGAAGATAAAAATAAAACAACAATATAAAAGAAAGTCCTCAGACAAGAGGGTTTCTCCTTCAAACACAGTATTAACCTCCTACTTAGAAAAATGGGTTAATAAACTTTACCTCAATTTTAAAAGTTTCCCTTGTATCTGTTAGTAATAAATCAACTCTAATTTAGTTTCCTAACTCAAGTAAAAGATCCAAAACAAAGGTTTTCAATAAGTTAGATTGGTGTGGGTCCCATTGTTTTAGATAAAGTGGGTTATTAATAACAAATCAAACCTAATTTAATCTCCTAAATCAAATAAAAAATCGAACCTAAATCTTCCATATGGATAATGGTTTCCAAACAAAATACGAAGGTATGGTTGTCGGTTGTCCTGTACTCGGTACAGGATGGTCATTAACTAATTGCTTAGAATAGGGAACTCTCTAAAGCTTATATGGAGTTTGGACTAGTTGGCTTTGAATAATAAACCATATGTCCACTCCACTCCATTTTAACTCCTGTTATTAAAGGTCTTTGTTTGCTACTTTGCTTTCTTTGGCAGTATCTGTCTGTACATTTCTTAATTAACGAAGCCTACATATGCTTTTGTAATTCCTTTTAAACTTCAGGAGAGGACTGAAATTGTAAAGCCACAATATGGTTGCTAATCAAGGGAAGTTTGGTGGTAGACTAGGTGGTGATTATCAAACATACTGTGGAATTCTATTCAGACCTCTATTCATCAGGCTATGTATGTCATGATGTGCATGCTCAAGATTTTAGACAGAATTTACACTAAGAATTCAGCTGTCAAATATGGGTATGTCACCCAATTTCCAAGTGTTCATGTAACATAATGATTGGGAGAGAATGGATGTCCCTAGTTATGGGCGTCATGGCCTAAAACTGAGATCATAAATGAACCATATTAGAAGATATGGCAAGGATATGTCTGGACAAGGTTTCTGATATGGATTATGGAATTTATGCTAAAAATTTATGTACCAAACATCATGCTTCACCTTTATATGGGTATGTAGGTATTGTAGAGATTGATATAAAAAACGAGGATTGATTTGAGAAAAGATCTGTTGAGAAGGAAGAGATAAGGGGAGACTTGCTTCCTGGTGGGTTTTCTCTGGTATTTTACCAGGAATCTTGGAAGTAGAGAAAAGTGATTCAATTTAGGTGTAAGATGATTCTTGCAACCAAGGTGGATTTAGAGAAAGCCTATGACCTAGTAGTTTGGCAAGTGTTGTTGCAACCAAGGTGGATCAGTTGGGGTGTTAGCCTAGTTCATTACTCAATTCTTATTAATGGAGTGGCAAAAGATTCTTCCTAGCCAAACGTGATTTAAGATAGGGAGATCCACTATCCCCTTTTCTTTTCACTATTTTGGCAGAGGTTCTAAGTATAGGTTGGTGATAAAATCAGATCTATATGGTTTGATTAGGGAGTGGAGAATTGAAAGAAATCAAGTGGTAGTTTCCCACCTCCAATTTTCTAATGATACAATTGTATTCTATGAGGGTGTAGATGTGGAAACGGTGAGAAATCTAAAACTGTTGATTGATGAATTTGTGGGACTGACAGGCTTGACAATCAACTGGGGAAAAGTGGGATTTCAGGAATCAACATGGAAGATAGGGAAATGCAGAGTTTTGCTGAGGTTCTAGGTTGCGAGATTAGAGATTGGCCAATAGTTTACCTAGGTTTTCCATTGGGAGGAATTACATTTCGTTTGAGGGGGGGGGATTACTCTAATAAGAGCTACACTAGCAAACCTTCCTATTTATTTCCTTTCCACCTTCTGCGTCCCAACTAGGATTGTAGGGCAGTTAGTGATGTATATGAGACTTTCTTTGGGAACCAGGAGAGGAAAAAAAGGATCACCTGGTAAAGTGGGAACAAGTTAGGAAACCTAAGGAAGAAGGGGGTTTAGGTTTAGGGAACATTATCCTAAAAAACACGTCTCTGCTAGGTAAATGGTTGTGGAGATTCCCCTTTGAGTGAGGTTCTGTTACAAGGTTATAGTAAGCATTCATGGGTTGGAAGGTAATGGATGGGATATTAAACTTGCTACCCACTCCTCCTCTTTGTCTTCGTGGAAAACAATTCATGAAGTCTACCAAATCTTTCTTAACTATATCAAGTATGATGTGGGAAGGGGTGATAAAATTCATTTCTGGGAGGACCTTTGGTTGGGGCCAAGTCCACTTAACGACCATCTCCAAGTTGGGAACCTCCTCTTCAACTGGTTTAAACTAGAATTTGGGGCTTAGAAGGGTGTTAAGGGAAAATGAATGTTTGTCTTTGATTCTTCTACTTGGAACCTTAAAGTAGACGTTTTTGGACTCTTCCATTGAGGATTCTAGAATTTGGTTGACCTCTATTGATGGCCTTTTTACTTGCTCATCTTTCTTTAAATCCCTCACCTCATCAAGTTGTCAAAGGGGTGGACTTCCCAGTTAAAGAAATTTGGAGTAAGCCTATCCCACTCAAAATTCAACTTTTCTACTAGAAATTTTTCTTGGTAAGGCAAATACTTGTGACTTGCTGCAGAAAAGAAGGCCTTTTGTTTGCCTCTGTCCTCACATGTGCTTCCTTTGTAGGGGTAACGGCGAGACTTTATCTCATTTACTTATCTCCTGTCCTTTTGTGATGAGAATTTGGGAATTTTTTTGTTCTCTTTTTGGCTGCAGGTGGGTCCCACCCAAGATGTGGAAGGTCTCTTCAACCCTAACTTCTTATGACAACCAAAGAAAAGGGGGAAAGTGCTTTGGAGAGCCACTAAGGTAGTGTTCTGGGAAGAGAGAAATAGCAAAATCTTGTTGGAAATGAACTGAAGTTTGGAAGAGGTGATAGATGGTATAAAAATAAAGGTAGTGTTCTGGGTGAAGACTTTTGATATTTTCAAAACCCTCTCAGTAACTGATTTCTTTAGAGCCTGGACTGAAATAGCACAGTCATCAAGAACAAAGTACAGAATCAGGATGGATTGGAAACCCCTAGAAGGCAATAAAGTAAAACTAAATTTTGATGGATGCTCTCTTGGAAACCCAGGTGTGGTTGGAATTGCGGGGGGGTATTAGAAATTCAGATAGGAGGATATTGGCTATCTTCGCAGGACCAATTGGGAGGCTGAACTGATGGCTTTATTGCAAGGCCTCAGATTAGCTAAGCAGTTGGGATTTAGGATGATTGAGGTGGAAGGAGATTACAATTTACAAGTAGCCATATCCTGGCCTAAATCCAATAGGAATATTCCTTGGTCCCTAAAGTATATTATAAGGGAAGTGGAAATGATTTCAGAAGAAATAGTGGCTAAATTTAAATGGGCTAGAAGGAGTGCAAATGGTTTAGCTGACACCTTAGCTAAACAAGGGGCTATGAGGCAAGGACTGTTTTGGGCATCCTTGTAATCTGGAATAGCAAAGTGGGCTAAAAAGTTGTACTTATCATTTCTTCTTTCCAAATTTTAATAAAATCATTTTTCTACTGATCAAAAAAAAAAAAAAAAGAAAAAAGATTCTTGCAACCATATATGATTATGAAATTTGGGCTACATTGTAGTCTTGTTAGTTATTAACCTAGGAGTGTGCTGTGAAGATTACAGAATTGGAGTCTAATCATTTCTTAGTGAAACAACTAATTTAATAGCATAGTTTTCAAGGCGCCAAGGTGACCCTAGGTGATAGGGGAGCGCTTAGTCGCCTAGTCACTTAGGCGCCTGCCTAGGCATCGCCTAGTGTCTCAAATGTAACCTTGCTTCTCCTAGTGTTTCAAGGTTTGTGTCTCAGAAATAACCTTTCTCTTCCTAATATTTCAAGGTTAGTGTGTAAGAAATACTCATCGCCTAGGAAAAGAAGGGTCTAAACCTTTGTTTTTATCATAGAAAATAAAGAAAAAAATAAAAAAATAAGGAGAAGGGCGGAGCACCTGTTTTTCTTCATTTTCTATGATAAAAAAAAGGTTAGCCCCTTCTTTTCCTAGGCGATGAGTATTTCTTAGGCACTGGAGCACCTGTTTTTGTCTCAGAAAAGATAAAGCAAAAGCCCTCAAAAATGATGAAGGAGAAGAAGGGGCAAAGCCCCTATTCTTGTCTCCAAGAAAAGAATGCAAGAAAAAGATTGAAAATGATGATGGTGATGAAGGGCGGAGTCCCTGTTCTTGTTTCAGGAAAAAGAAAATTAAAAAAAAGCATCAAATGAAGAAGGCTAAGAAGGGGCATAACCCATGTTTTTGTTCCAAAAAAAAGGAAGGAAAAGAATCAGAAATTTAAGAAGCAGAGAGGGTTATTTCCTATCTCAGAAAAAAGAAGGTGCTGATGGCACAAAAGAAGAACATACTTGCAATCAATTGGTGTTCCTTGTTTACAAGGTGAAATCATCTTCCAGTTGGTCTAGGTCTTCACTCTTCAAGTCTTCGAAATCTGTATTGTTTGAACCCTAACAAAATAAGAATCTAACAAATACATGTTGGTTTATAAAGTAAAAGAAGAATGTTATGGTGTATCACTGTCTATTTTAATATTATGAGCTGAAAGTATAAAAATATAAAAATATTGTAAATAATGTAAAGTATGATATAAAAACTGATTGGCATTTGGGCAAGGTGAGCAATGAAAAGTGCTTAGTTGCCTAGGTGTTGCCTTCACAACTATGTTTAATGGCTTGGTGAGAAGATGAAATTTGAGGTATTTTGTTATCAATATGCTTGAATTCAATGAACAGATTACATTTTGTGATTCATTGTAGATTCTTGGTAAAATGTATATATTAGAATAAACTCTTTACAGGAGTCTTTATTTTTATCACTAGAAGGGATAATCCTTCAAGAAAGCTTCATCTTGCTCATTTGTTCTCTAGGCGGCATCTTTCTTGTATTACCAAGAGAAAATGAATGTCCTTGTGGAACCTGATGTGCATGATATGTTTGCAAGGATTCCGGGATTTGGATTCATTCAGACATTTTATAGTCAAGATACCAGGTACTGACACATCACGCTATCAGAAGGCAAAAGCACCGAAGTAATATTATAGTATTATTCTTAGGAAGTCTTTTGCTTAACCATTTCTGTTATACCTTGATGCAGTGATCTTCACGAGAGAGTTGACTTTGTGGCTTGTTTGGGAGGAGATGGGGTTATACTCCATGCATCAAATTTATTCAGGGGAGCTGTTCCTCCCATTGTATCTTTTAATCTTGGATCACTTGGATTTCTCACTTCCCACTATGTATGTTCCTGGCCTCTATCTTTTGAATCTCAATTTGACCTATTTTCATATACTTATCCCTCAGATAATATTCCTTTTTGTAACAGTTTGAAGGCTATAAGAAAGACTTAAGACAAGTTATTCATGGAAATAATACATCAGATGGAGTTTATATAACACTTAGAATGCGCCTCCGCTGTGAAATCTTCCGAAATGGTAAAGCAATGCCTGGGAAAATTTTTGATGTCCTGAATGAGGTTGTTGTGGATCGTGGTTCTAATCCTTACCTTTCTAAAATTGAGTGCTACGAGCATGACCACCTTATAACAAAAGTAAGAGCTGTCGAATGTCACCCTAGTTTTTATATGGTTAATGACGTTGTGCTATGACATATGTTACATCTTTCTTTTGTAATTTGGATTTTGGACCTGCTTTTTATTTCTTTTCTTCTTAATTTTAATTATGACATATTGTTACTCAATATGATGATTAATCCTGCCTATATTATTTTTTTTTGATAAGTAATGAAAATTTTATGAGAAAGTAAAAAGTAGTGTTACAATAAGAGCACAAAACAGAGGCATGAGGTGTGGCCTCCATCATAAAATCGGTATTACAATTGAGCCACAAATAGATTAGAGTTTAGACTTACGCACCCCCTTGTTTTGCAAAATAATCAGCCAACCCATTTGCAGACCTCCTTTCCCATTGGATGATAGCTTAGAACAAGAGCTCAAGATTCCGAGAACCTTCCGGACAATAGCTTAGAACAAGAGAGAGCTAGAATCTGGTCCCTAATTCTGGAAAACCTATTGGACCCGGCCCTAGGAGTGGAGAAGGTTGAATATAGAGTGAACCACCCCATCACCCAACCAAAGTTAGTATCCCAAACCTTAAGCCAGGTGGATGTTAGGTGGCTGAGTCAGGAGGATAAAGAAGAGTCAGAAAGAAATAGAAGAGTGGAAAGGAAGAGTGAAGGAAGTAAAGTATATTTAAGGAAGAAAGGAAAGCAAAGAAGAAGAAAGCAAAGTGAGCTAGAGAAGCTTAAGTGCGGAATTAATTATGAGAAGAAGGAAGAGGGGAGCCTGAAAAGAAAAAGAGGGGAATAATAGGCAGCCATTGATAAGGGGTCTTAAGTAGGTTGAAATGAAGATAGTCAGCTGGAATGTAAGAGACCTTGGAAGTGCCAAAAAGAGGAGGATAATCAGGAACACTCTCAGAAAAGAAGGACCAGATCTGGTTTTGATCCAAGAAACCAAACTATCAGAGCTGAATAGAAGGTGGATAAGAAGCGTTTGGGGAGCCAGGGGTCTAAGCTGGTCATATGCCCCATCATGGGGAGCCTCAGGAGGGATTTTGACCATTTGGAGAAATGAGGAAATGGAATGTGTGGGGAATTGATTGGTAGATATTCAGTCTCCTTAAAAATTAGAAGATCCTCAGATGGGTGTGAATGGGTGGTAACAAATGTATATGGTCCTAACTCCTATAGAGACAGGGAGGCCTTTTGGGAGGAGTTAATTGCTATTAGAGGAATTTGGGTAGGGGCAAGAGTCTCATGCCTATAGACAGAAAAATCTTTCCATCTTCTTCTCCATCGAAGACTGGTAGGGCTGGTTTCGATCAGTTCTCGAAGACTGGTTTCAGATGGCCTTTGCATTGGGCTGCATGCACAGACGTGGAGTCGCAATGTGCGGTGCAGTCCTCTTCAGGCCAGCAACTCCCAAGATGTGCACGAGTTTGTGCGGATGCAGGGGAGGAAGCGGAAGTTGGTTGGGTGGCTTGCAGTGAGGAGGGGGTTGACGGAGAAGACGATTCTGATGACTCGACCAGTGTAGACAGTGTACCGGAAGAGATCTGGCAGTTAGAGGAAGTGGAAGACACGTTAAATCTAGAGCGTCTCTTTACAGAAGAGGCAGGAAACGGAACCAATGTTGGTGAGAAGATCCGATCTGATGGAGGAGAGGAGGTCAACATAGCAGAGTATAGACAGATACATGGGGAAGGATATCTGTTCTCACAATGAGAAGCTCCTTTGCCGAATCAGTATACTAGGCAGGATGTTTGTAAGGAAGGTTATGAGGCTTCTCAGCGGCAAAACAGAAACACTTCAGCAAGGAGTAAACACAAGGGTACAAAAAGTAATCCCTGTGGTGTACATCTGAAAGGAAAGTTACCATCCCAGACCCAACTCGAGGAAATAGAACACATTCACAAGCCAATACAGGGAGTGACGGATTCCTCTTTCAGTCCCTGTAACCCTCCCTAGATTCAGCAAAACTCAGGTATCTGTGTCCATTCATTTTGTGTTACTAATGATTGTCTCTTGCATGCTGTGCCAGATCCCATTCCCATTCCAGAGGATGAAGCCTGTGGTGGAGAAGGGGAAGCAAAGGAGAGGAAGAGAAGTGGTGAGGCTGGGGGAAGAGGAGGGCCAGGAAAGAAATGCAAGACTTTGGGAAATCTTTAGGAGATTAGTGGATGAGCTTGGGGAAAATAATATACAGAAGGAGAGGGCAGGTGAATTAAATGTAGGAAATGAGGTTACAGATGCAGGAGGATGTGAAGGAATAAATGAGGAAGGAGGCTCTGAAGAGCAAAAGGTTAGGGAGGTGAATAGTGAGGACACTGTGGCAGCCTTTGTGGGGAAACTGGGGTGCAACTTGAAAGATCCAAATGATCTCAAATTTTTTCTGCAAAAGAAGGGGGGGGGGGTAAGGTGAGGAAGAGGAAATTGAATGAGGTTGAAAGATTGATGAGGGATATTGGAGGGGATAAGAATGCAAGTGTCAAAGGGGATAGGAGGAAGGGGGTTAAGTAATGAGTCTCTGGGATTGAGGGGAAAATGAAGAAGAGAGCAAAATGAAAATTGTCAGTTGGAATGTTAGAGGGTTGGGTAGTGCTAGGAAGAGGGTAGTGATTAAAGAGGCAATTAAAAAGATAGACCCGGATGTAATTATGCTTCAGGAATCTAAGAGAGCAGACTTTGATGTTAGGTGGGCTAGGAGCATTTGGAGAGCTAGGGGGGTTAGCTGGGCTACCTCATCTTTGTGGGGGTCTGCAGGGGGGATTAATAACTTTATGGAAGAATGAGGTGTGCATAGCAATGGAGGAATTGATAGGCCAATTTTTAGTTTCGTTGAAATTTAAGCAGGTGGAGGATGGCTTTGAATGGGTGTTAACAAATGTTTATGGACCTAATGATTATAGAGGGAGGAGGATTCTCTAGGAAGAGTTGGGGGATATAAGGGGATTGTGGGAAGGACCATGGTGTTTAGGAGGCGATTTCAATGTAATTAGGTTTTCAGAAGAAACAAATAATCCTAGACAGAGGGTGACTACGAGCATGAGGAAATTTAATCAATTTGTGGAAATCTTTGAACCCAAAGAGATTCATTGGCCCGTAGTAGCTATACTTGGTCCAATTTACAAGTGAGTCCCATTTGTTCTAAGTTGGATAGGTTTCTATTTATAGTCGATTGGGAGGAACATTGGGGGAGCTTGGCATCTAGAGCACTTCCAAGAGTAACCTCAGACCATTGGCTTATTATGATTGGTGAGGAAGAGTTGGGAAACACAAGGCCTGCCCCGTTTAGATTTGAGAACATGTGGCTACTCCACCCGGGTTTTATTAATAAAATCAAGGATTGGTGGTTAGAGAGTAGAATGGAAGGGAATGGGATTCCATAAGAAGTTACAATTCTTGAAGGGTAAGATCAAGTAATGGAATAACTTAGAATTTGGGAGGTTGGAAGAAAGAAAGCAAGCAGTGATTGCTCGATTGGAAGAGTTGGACGTGAAGAAGGGGAGGGGAGATATTACGCAAGAGGATAAAGAACAAAGGTGGAAATTGCGGAAACAATTGGAGGATGAATTGATTAAGGAGGAAATTAGTTGGAAACAAAAGTCAAGGTGTAAGTGGCTTAAGGAGGGGGATAGGAATACAAAATTTTTTCATGTTTTGGCAAGTGGGAGAAGAAGGAAAAATTTTATCTCAAGCTTGGAAGTGGAGGGGATACCCTTATCTAATCAGGGTGAGATTGCTAGGGAGTTTGCAAACGACTTTAGATCCATATATAGAAAACCCTTAAGTAATAGGGTATGGATTGAGGGGATGGAATGGCCAAGATTAAGCTCAGAAGATAGGGAGTGGTTGGAGAGAAGATTTGAGGTAGAGTAGGTAAAGGAGGCAGTATTCTCCATGGATAGATCAAAGGCTCCAGGCCCAGGTGGTTTTACGATGGCATTTTATCAGGATTGTTGGGAGGTCTTGAATGAAGAGTTAGTGACAATCTTTGAAGAGTTTCACAGAAGAGGAGTGATTAATCCGGGGTTGAATTCCACATTTATTGCTTTGGTTCCCAAGAAGAGAGAGGCAACACATCCAAGGGATTATAGACCTATCAGTCTAGTTAACAGATAAGATCATTGCAAAGGCCTTGTCCCTAAGGATTAGACAGGTGCTCAATACCATTATCTCAAATAACCAAGGAGCTTTTGTGAGGGGAAAGCAAATAACTGATCAAATCCTTATAGCAAATGAGAGCGTGGAGGACTTTAAGAAATCTAGGAAGAAGGGTGTGGTCTGTAAGCTAGATCTGGAAAAAGCTTATGATTTGGTAGATTGATCCTTTTTGCTGGAGGTGATGACCAATTTTGGGTTCGGAGATAGATGGTGCAACTGGGTTTTGGGGTGTATTCGGACTTTCCACTACTCTATTTTGGTGAACGGAATGGTGGTAGACTTCTTCCCAGCATTGAGGGGAATAAGACAAGGAGACCCCCTTTCTCCTTTCTTGTTCACCTTGGTTGCCGAAGTGCTAGGGAGACTGATCTCTAAGGTAGATTCTAGAGGGCTTATCAAGGGGTGGAGAGTTGGCAGGGAGAATAAACCACTTACACATTTGCAGTTTGCAGATGATACGATTCTTTTTTTGTGAGGGGGGGACATGAATGGGGTCAGGAATGTGAAACTTACAATACAACTACTTGAGCAAATGTCGAACCTGAAAATAAATTTTGATAAAAGTTGTGTTGTAGGTGTGAATATGGGGGAGAGTGAGATCCTTGAGTGTGCAAGTATTTTGGGTTATGAAGTATTGAGTTGGCCTTTAATTTATCTTGGTCTTCCCCTAGGAGATAATCCTTACAAAGGAACTTTTTGGATTCCAATTGTGGAGAGGTTTGAAAAGAGACTTGCTTCTTGGAAGAAAAACTACCTATCTCTTGGAGGAAGAAGCACCTTATTTAGGTCTACTTTAGTTAATCTGCCCATTTATTACCTTTCAGTTTTTAAGGTGCCTGTAGGGGTGGCTAGCAAGTTGGAAAAACT